ATTACTATTACTCAATTATAATGATTCTAATTTTTCTATAACAAATAGTAGAAAAAAGAATATATGTTTATTATACATTATTGTAGAAAAATATTTTAATTAATCGAAATACTTTCAATCGACGATGAACGTTCGTTTGAAGTTTCCAATATTAATCTTTTGATTTTATTTCATTCTAAACATAAAGAACAATGATTTAGGATAAATACATCCTGAATTATTACCAGTGACTAAATTGTGGTCAGAGTAAAAAAATTAATATATTGCAAAATTCACATGTAATTAAATTAATTATTAAATGTGTGAATTATGCAATAAATTAATTTTTCTTTTAGTAAAATACATTGAAAAACATATTGAATAAAAAAAAGAAAACTTGTGATATTGTGATAAATTTGTGATACCATATATAGATATTTATATATTTAAAGTTAAATATGTTTTATTAGATTCGATAGAAATTTATCGATCATTTTATAAATTGAATTTCATATTTAATAATTGACTTAATGTGACTGGTGATGAGATACAATGATCGAGTCGCAAAACGAATGACAAATATGTGCTATATCTGCGAATTAACGTTAAAAACAAAAGAAAAGGAAGAGAGAGAGAAAGAGCGAGAGAGAGAGAGGAGGAAGAAAATCAAGAAAAGAAAGATAGGAGGATAAAAACAATGGGAAGAAAGAAAAGAGATAGAGACAAGAGAACACAGGATTTCAAAAAGTTGGGAAAGGAAGATAAGATATGAGGAAAAATGAAAAGAAATGAAAAGAATAACTCACATACTCCTGCCACGCAGCGAGTCCTTAGACAGCTTTAAGATAATAATAATAATTATTAAATGATATAAATATATTAATTAAAATTAATTACTTAATTAAAAAAAAATAATAGTGATAAAACTTTCTATATGTTGAATTGTGTCTAGTGAAAGAAGTAAAAACTATTGAGATAAAAAAAAAAATAAAAAAAATAAATAAATATAACGACAAAAAAAACCACTAAGAAAAAAAATACGGTAAAGAGAGAGACAGTGGGGGAGAGAGAGAGAGAGAGAGTGGAGGAGAAGAAGGACGACGGTGAAGGTGAAAAGAGGAAAGGGGGAAAAAAATTAATATAAATAAAATAAACTAAATAATTAATTAATTAATCGATTATTTGATTGATTGATTTATTGATTGATTGATTACTTAATTAATTATTTAATAAAAAAAGGTAATATGCAAGGGGAAAAATTAGAAACAGAGAGAAAGACAGATAACACAAATGGAAATATTATTGAAACTATTCGCATAACAGGCAAGATTGGGACGACACAGTTTATATATGACCATTAGTTATCTCTATCGAAAACTGTTCTTTTTATTCACATAAATAAGTAGAGGACGAGAGGTCAAAAGATCCAAGATGAAAATAAGAATAAGAAGGAAAAAATTAATATGATGATGATGATGAAGAAGAAGAAGAAGAAGAAGAAGAAGAAGTTGACTGTTAGAATATAGCTTGGATGTTTCGTTTGCTGTTTTACAGGCGTTTGTGCAGTTGGTGGTAATCGGCGATTCTTGGTTTAGATATTATATATATATATAAATAAATAAAATATATACATAGTATCATGTGAAGAAAGAAGAAAAAAAAAGAAAGAAAAAAAAGAAAGAAAGAAATGGTGGTTTGCCGATAAGTCCCACACACAACAAACACACACATACACATACACACATCTACGTTTATATATAATATTTAGTGAGTTCTCTAAATTCTCACTATTGTTATTATATCATTATTACTGCTATTATTACGTAGGGTTTTCATACCTACATTATGGCCAACATTAACAACAACACAAACAAATGATTCTAATTAAAATGATAAATATGTACACAAAACATACATATATACATACATAAATGCCCACACGAGCAAAACAATTAATTCACGTTAATAATTATCATCATCGATTTGGCTTTGTAATAAAAGTATGCAGAGAGATAATAATAAAAGATTTGATACCATACACACTTTGCATGGTGTTAGAAAAATATTATAAACTCAATACGAATGAGAGAGAGAGAGAGAGAGAGAGAAAGAGGGAAAGAGAGAAAGAAAGAGAGAGAGAAAGAGAGAGAGAGAATACAAGTATGTGTGAGTGTTTGTATGTATGTGCAACAACAGTTTGATCGTCGAATGTAATAACGTACACGTGTGTATGCGAGAAAATGTGTGTGTGCGCGAGTGAGAAAGGAAGAAAAAAAAAAGGAAAAAAAAAAAAAAAAGAAAAAAATTAACAAATAATTCAAAAACACTTGTACAGAACTTTCCCCCGTGTTTTACGTGAAAAATTGCGGCTCGCACTAATATTATAATATGTCATGCCATAAGTATGAAAATTCTACCGTTAATACGTTTATTAATTAACTCTTATTATTATTATTATCATAACGTCATCGTCATTATTATTATTATTATCATCATGATCCATGATTGATCATTGTCATCTTCGTTGTTGTGGTAATTTTCATTACAATATTCCTCCATCTCCTCCTCATCCTCCTCCTCCTTCTACCCACAATTTATAATGGCGAACATAATCCTTCGTTCTTTTTCTCTTTTCAATTATCTTTTATTGTTTTTTTATTTTAACAATTATGCGAATTCCTATCGTCATTATTATTATTATTATTATTATTATTAATATAGTTATTAATATCATCATTATTATTATATTAGTTATTATTATTATTATTATTATTATTATTCTTATGATTCATATTATTATTATNATTATTATTGGTTATTATTATTATTATTATTATTATTATTATTATTATTATTATTATTATCACTGCTGCTCTGCTACGATTATATTATCATTATACTTATTATTAAGATTATTCTTATTATGATTAATTAGTACCATCATTACCAATGCACACAAACCATCGATTTAATTACTTCCGCTCGTTCTACTCACCAACAAAATGCGGACCTAAAGTTGTCCAATTTTATCTTTTTTTTTTTTTCCTACAAATATTTAATTATTTCTAAGTTTCTTGTTTCATCAAATCCCAGACCTTTGTTTATTAACCCTTAATGGTTCAAAAGTAATTACACTAATGATATGTAATTATACGAATATTTTGATAATTCATGAATAATTTGTTAAAATTTAAACAATATTTCCCCATGTCTTTTGTTTACATATTATTATAAATATTAAAAAAGAAAAGGAATAAAAAAATAGGTGGTGTGTACCGTTAAGGGTTAATTTTATCTTTCAGTTCACTTCTATCGTATCGATCTATTATTTTGTTGTTTCCTGTTTCATATGAGAATCTTTCGTTATTTCGATTAAATGGAGAAATATCTGTTGAGAAAAAAAAAAAATAGAAACAAATTTTTTCGAGAGTTAAAGAAAGATGAAAAATAAGAGTAAACGTGTGTAAACGAAAAAAAAGAACAAAACAGAAAAAGAAAAAAAATGTATGCACACCCACGTTCTCGTTCTTTTTATCCGCGTGCGTGCGTGCGTGCGTGCATGCGTGTATGTGTTCGTACATGCGAGTGTATAATACTTATTATAATATCACGGATTTGTGGGATATGAAGTAATCCAAATAAAAATAAAATTGAAAATAAAATGAAAAGAAAAGAAAATGGAGCACCAAAGATTAAAAAAAAAAGAAGGATTCAAAGATTTAATATCATTGAAGGATTATAAAACAAAGCTTTCGAGAACGAATTATTTCAAAATTTACAAAAACAATTTAGGCATTTTTGGTTTATTTAAAAAAAAAAAAATGGCGAGAAATTCCATATATTATTCGATTGTTTTAATTTAGGAATTTAAAAAAAGGTTTATTTTTTATTAAAAGATATTTGATAGGGCAAGTTCATAATGGGGCATGCGCAGAACTGATATCTTTGAATCGCATGACTGAAAAATCGCCATATTCGTGGATTATAATTTTAAATAGAATTTCAAGCGCACGGTGATCAAATTTCTCTCGAAGTCATTTCTATCGTCGTTGGAACGACCACCAGTCGTTTTAAAACTGGCATTCCTACCCTAAAACGTCGTATATACTTCTCTGGGCTCAGGATTCTATTATTATTTGGCAGCGACGTAGTCAAATTTTGAAATTTTAAACATACGGATCTGTCTATTTTTATTTTTAGGCCTTTTTTTATCTCGTTTTAATCTATTAACGAGAAACACACGATATTTCGGATTATTGCGTTCATAATTTCAATATTATTTTATCTACTGTATTTTGAGTTTTATTAATTTTTCATATTAATTATTTTTTTTAATTATGAAAGGAAGAACCACAAAAAATCAATGGAAAAGCAAACGAAAAAAAATAATTCGTACGTCTTCGAGAATCCTTTTGATTGCAAATTTCTGTCTCCGTTTAAAAAAATATAAGATAGTTAATAATAAAAATGATAATAATAATAAATAAATAAGTAATATAATATAATAATAACGATAATAATAAATAAATAAGTAATATCAATATAATAATAATAATGATAATATAATATTAATAATAAAAATAATTAAATCATACGTATGAAAATAATTTGTATATGCGCGCACGTGCACATACATGCATTTTGAATTTTGTCTAATCACGGAAAAGAAAAGAAGAGAAACACTAATTAGTATGCACACGTACACACACACACGCGCACGCGCGCGTATTTGTATATGTGACGGGATCATCTATCGCGTGTCTGTCTTCTTATTAGATTTCATTTGTATCTTCGAGCAAAAAGAAAGAGAAAAAGCAAAGGGATGATAACTTAATTTTTTATTATTATAATTTCATATAGGGGTGATATGTGAAAATTTTCACTTAATATCAGTCGTCAATCTCTCGATGGTGCTTTTTTTTTTATATTATACAAAAAATTCAATTTTGACGATATATACCTCGATCTGTAAAAAAAACTCTCACGAAGAACCTCCTTTACTCATATTTCGGCTTCGACAGGTGTCCCAGTTGAAGAAACCTAACAACAACAACAAAAGCAAAATCGAGAAACGTCAAAGTGATCAACGGCAGCGTAATGAAAGCTTGAAAAGACGAAAATCCTTACCCCAACACGGAGAAACATCATCCACCGTTAATCTTATCAAATCCATATCAGTTTCCGTTTCCCAGTTACCACCAACAACAACAACAATAACCGCAATTCCTACATTAACGGTCCCATCCGTCATCGATTCATCATCTCCCAATGTAATAACTACGTCATTAATATCCACTACAATTGTTGGACAAAAAAGTAACGTAACCGATGGAAATGTTTCTAATAATTCGGCTAACAATAAGTCCTCTTGCGATATGCAAGGTTTATTGCAGTTCGAACCTATCGAAATTTAAATTCTTCGCGCGTTAGTAGATTATCGAAGTTCGTTTGTTCTCTTTCCGCATATAGCGCTAGCATCGGGTACTATATTTCCGCGCATGCGCATTATCATATTTCACTAATTGTGCGCGCGTAATTAGTTTCTACGTTTGAGCTGACTTTATTCTATCATTTAAATTTACTTAAATTTTTTGCGGATGCTTTTAAAAAAAAAAATCATTCCATTGTTTTCGATGATACAAAGATTTCTCGTTCATTAATTAATTAATTACAAAAATTTAGATCTTCTCTTGGAGATCTTAAGAAAAATAAAAAAAAAAAAAAGTCAAGTTGAACACCGTTCGAGTTCATATTTTTTATAAGTTTATTTTAATTCATGATGCTTCATGATATTCATATGTTTATCATACGTTTATTTTCTTCGTTCACTTTTTATGATATAAAGCTTCTTACATAGATTCTAATCGGTTTCTTTAGATGTATTACTCTTTATTGTTCGAAAAAATCGATGTACGAATACAAACAAAATATAATTTGGTACTTTTGTGACAAATTGAATACCAACGAGTGAAAAATAAAAATTTTAAGAGCTGTTCTTTATCATCTACGACTCTTGATTGTTTTATTTTTAATTAATTTTAAGAGAATAAAAACTCCACAAATCTTTGACATCTTCATTTTACATGAGACCTCAGTGTCAAATTTTATGTCAACCTTTCTAATCAGAAGACTGATGACAACATATAAATTCGGCGTGGAAGAATATATAGTACGTATGTATATATGATATATTTTAAATTTATGAGACATAATATTCCTTTTTTTATATTCTAAAGTAGGGCTTCTCAAAAAAATAAACCCTGATAATCTCATATGGGATCACAGAAACTTTAACAAATATAAAAAATTCCTGAACACGTAATGACCGAAAAATAATTTAAATAGTATGTCTATGAGTTTATAGTAGTGAAATAGAACAAATTCGAGAAGCCCTGTTCTAAATTATATATATATAAATAAATTAATATTTATATTATCTTTTTTTTTCGCGTATAAATATTTTTGAGTTTTGTTAGAATTGTCGGAAAAACTTTTGAAACCGAGATATTGGTCGAAATAAAATTATATTCTATGAGATTGATAGATAAAATAATATATTTAAAAAATATTTCAGTCTATATACACATATATTATTATAATCGTTAATTATTTATGCAAATAAATTGATTAGTTAGATAATTTGAGATCAACGGAAGCCATTCGGGAAAGTGCGAGAGTAAAATCAAAATATCGTCTTTATTAGATTCATAAAATTCTGTTGTTTTTTTCAATATATAAGCTTTCGAATTAGACGTATGATAATGGGGTTCTATTCTTAATAAAATGATACACGAATGCAAATACTTGGGATAAAGATCTAATATATCTTTGTCCTTATTTTGACAATGAGCGAGGATATGCTTCAATGTCGCTTGTATAAATGTTAAAACTGTAGGTGCGTATTCTAAATGTACAAACAATTCTTTCAAAAAACTGCATATTAATTGAAATATGAATGGTGATAAAGCTGCGAATTCGAGTAATTCGTTTATCGAATTTTTAATCTCTTGGCAATCTTTATCAGCTTCTGTATTAATATTTAAACAAGTGGACGTAAAATTTTCAATTAACACTTCTTCTATTAGTTTATATCTCTGTGAATAATATATTCTTTCTTTCGTGAATAAACTAAGTCCAAGTTGTGCGCTCTGTTGTAAAGCATAACATAATAATTTTTCACTTTCGTTAGTAGATTCCAAGTAAGAAAGTTTAGCAATTATCTTTTCTATATAATACACAAAACGAGTATTATATTTAGCAAGACACATTAATGCTCCTGTTAATGATGTCAATGTGTAAATAGATATGCATTCGTCTAAAACATCCGGTAGATATTTTTCCATTAAATTTTCAACAAATTTTGACGTAGTTTCTCCGTCTCGAAATATGTGCAGAGATTGAAATCTCTCAGTTATGCGTAATAATTCGCGCAATGTATCCTGCAATTTAGATAATTATACTTCATTTATATAGATGTTTTTTATATACATTATTAATAACGAGAAAAAACTAACTTACAATAACGTGAAGACGAACAGAATATCTTTGATAAGCTTCTTTGGATACTTTGTAGCACAAAAGATTAGAAAATGATGTAGATAAGGCACGTAAGACAATGTCGGATCTTGGTACAAATGCATCTATACTGAGAAAATCTTTATATTCTTCCGTGTTTTCAATACTCTTCTCTGCATCCTCACAGCTATGCAATATCGTTCTTAAAATTCTTACATCCATTATTGTTTTCGATATCTGAAAACTATAGCATTTATACTAATAACGATATTATAGTATTGTCTATTTTATAAAAGGAACTCTTAAATATGAATAATAAATTAATGTTAATTATTCGTACGCACCGAAAATATATACACAATTAATACTAAATAATTATGTGTAAGATAATTAATATATACATATATATAAATTATTATTATTATTTTTTATTCACAAAATTTCATTTACATCCTTTAAACTCGTGTAGTTTCATAACTTTTCATTTGATTCAAATGCGACTCTTTAACATAGCCTGTAAACGTAATTCTGTCAATCAGTATTACCAACATTACAGATAAAATACCCAATAACATGGTATAAATAGTATTTTATAGAAATATACATTTATCATTTTAAAACAATATCTTTCTAATAACTTTGCAATAATATTATATAGGAAACAGTCATTCAACTTGAATTCCTTCTTGAAACTGTAATGGTTTAGAATGTTTCAATTCACGTTCAATTTGATCAGCTCGTTGTTGAAACAGTTTGGCTAAATCTGCATCCTTTTTAACACCATCCCCTCTTAAATACATTTGTGATACATTTGCGCAAGCATATGGATTTCCAAGTTCACAGCACTTAAGCGACAATTTATAAGCCTCTTTAATATTAGGTTTTACATAATCCTTTATTCCCTTTAAATAAAGTCCTGAGAGAAAGTAACATGCTTTCTCTGAATTGAGTTCGTAGCATGCCTTCCGTAGCCTACATATTCCTTTATTAATTTGTTCAGAACGATTATCATCAAACTCTTCGGTTATAGCAAGGATACCGGAATGAAGACAACCACCGTCATTATTTAAATCGCAAGCTTTTACCATGTATTTGTATGCTTCATTGACATCTCTTTTATAACCTCTACCTACAAAAAGAAAAAAACAATAAAATATAAAGCCCCCCCCCCTTAAACTCTTTAAAAAAAAATATTTCATATTTATTTTCATAACATTATCTCACAAGTACGAAAAGTGTTTCGTGTAATCATATTTATCTTAATTACTAACCTGACCACCAGTGGGCGATATTAGGTATTTAACGCGACGACGGTACAATACTAGTACCGTCAAAACTATATTCTTTGATAATTTCGTCAATCGTCATCGCTTATTCTGAATTAAAAACCTACTATCGCCCAATGGTGGACAGGTTAGTAATTAAGATGAATATGGTTACACGAAAAGTGGACTTGTGAGCCTCTATGTACTTCTCTTTGACATTACAAAAAAATTCAAAGACAGTTACCGACCGAGAAACCTAAACTAGAATGCTGCCATCTAATCGTTGACGTAATTTGACTTCTTACCGATAATAAGATATTCTCCGTATTTGGCACAACTTCTTGGATAATTACGTTCGTCACAATTTGCTTTATAAAGTTCTCCTGCCTTTTTAAAATCTTTTTTTATGGCTTCGTTGAAGTCACCCAAGAGATGACAAACTAAAAATATGAAAATTGTTATTGGTAGTCATTCGTTGGTACAGGTTAAGTTCATCGAAAATGATATTTTTTCGCACCTTCTGGATTTTTTTCACTATAACAACCAAATTTATATTCGATGTGAAGATTTTTCAGATATTCCTTAACCTCTTCTGGCTTTTTTAAATTATATGACAAAGACATTGTTATCTTTTTTCATACACAAAATGAGTAAATTGTACGAAGAGATAATTGAACACCGTACAGAATCACATCATATATAATCACGTGTGAGAGTAAGAGAGAAAGATGATAGGAGTGGGAGTTAGAATGCATGACCAATCATATGATCGGATTGTTAGAACGCGCGTTTCTTTGGTATTTTTGAACGTGCGCCATGCGCATAAGCAAAAATGACGATGCGAGAGGTGTCGCGTAAGTCGTGAAATTCGACAGTTCCGCTTTTCACGTCGTTTCGCGTATACATTCTTTCTGTATATCATTATTTTCTCCCCTACTTATTGTTAAAAAAATAAATAAAAGTGTTTTAGTTATTTTTAATATATTTTAATTTTGAATTTTTTTATGCGTTATAATCATCGCATGCTGGAAATAAAATATCGTCTTTTTCCAGGTAAGTACATTTTAAATAAATGTGATATTTTAATAGAAAATAAATCAAATTGTTATAATACGATAATTATACGAATGATAACAATATGAATGATGTTAATAATAAAAATATTAAAATCATAGTTGAGATATAATTTGAATTTGTTATTATCGTATTATGAAATTTGATTTTATTTCATTTGATTTTAAAAAATTGATCTTATTATTTATTTTTATTTTTATTTTCTTTCGTATTAAAGCGTAATACAACCGTGCAGTTTTATTATGGTCTTGATATAGACCTTAAAACTATAGTTAGGGGTTAGACATTGGTTTAGTAGGTCGTTTAGTAGGTAGTTTAGGATATACTCGGTCAGTCGGTTACGATGTTATCTGCTCTGAAATCTTTATTTTCTCTTTTTTCTTTTACTCTCATGCTAAAGTGAACAATATTTTTATTTAAAAAAAAAAAGAAAAGAAGGTAAAAAATTTGTTTCAAAAACAACAAGAACTTGTCAAATAACTCAATGCTTATGACATTAAATTGCCTGTAAAGTTCTTAATGATTTCAACAAAAATGTGTTAACGCATGTCAAAAATATTCATCGAATTATAATTTATATTAAATTAATATTATTAAACTCTGTGAGTAATTATAATATTAATTTATAGTAATACGATTATTGTTCTAACATTAACTTGTCATATATAACGATATCTGCTTTATATATTTGACTAACAAGTAGTCTTGACCTTGAGAATAACATATGTATCTATATATCACGTTCGTCATACTATGTGTACATAAGTATACTTAATATTCAATCGTAAAACATGAAGATACATATGTAGATAGAGACACTTTATTATAGATTTTATTGTTGCGTCTAACTATTCAAATATACCAACTTATCGCTTATTATATCTTAACTTTCACGATCTTATCATAAACGTATTAAATGATTCATCGGTTTACTATTTTGCATCAATCAATCCATTCATAAATTATTCAAAAGTATATATAATTAATTATACGAACAAATTAATTGTGTACTTAAATTTAATAGAAACATACATTGATCTATATAAATAAAAAAGATATATATATATATATATCATAAATTTTATTATAGTAATGCAAGATAGATTTAACGACTTATTGTTAAACGATTGTAAAAAAAAAAGGAACATACGTTTTTAATTATTTTATATAAAAAATAATATTTTATTAATAAACATTTATAAAGGAAATCATCTTACTGACCTCGTACAAGTATCTACAAAGTTTATCGCATACTCGATATCATTTTTTTTACTCTTCTTCTTAGAAAAAGATTTGTTTTTTACAACGAATTAAATATATTTATTTTTAATATATTTTTTTTCAAAACTTTTTGTAAATAAAAAAAAAAGATAAAAAAAGAATTGTAGAATTTGTTGTCATATTCGTAATTTCTCTTTTTTTTTTAAAGAGAACTCGTAATATAAAAAAGAGAGAGTAACAAGGAAGAACATATTAAATTATTAATACACATATAAAAATAATATAAACAATATAAATTAGTATAATTGTTTAAATAGATGAGCGAGTCGGTAAAAGTAGCCGTAAGATGTCGGCCTATGTCCAATCGGGAGCAACAACAAGGATGCAGGGTACGTCACGATAATCAACGATGAACAACCACAATAAAAAAAAAAAAAAAAGAAAAAGAAAAGAAAAAGAAAAATAAACAAAAAAGATATACCGGGCAGTAGAGCAGTAGAACATTGATTAAAAACATCCCGTTTGATTGATGCACTTTTTCCACTTAAATTCAACGCACTAATACATATTATAAAATAGATAGATATATAGCACATAAAATGTGTGACACAGCACGCATGCATATTTCTTTAATTTTGTTTATCCTTTTTGTATGTTTCTCAAACCTTCATCGTTATATCGAACGCATTGTAACTTAGCGACCGTACCAACAAAACAAGGGACGTTTGCTCATTCCTCTACATGCCGTTCTTTTATATTTATACGTACCTTTTTTTGTTGTTTTTGCTCATAAAAAATCTTCACAATAATAAAAAAAAAGAAAAATGTGCAACCATTTTGTATCATTTGTGTTATTGTCCAATAATCTCGTTTATTTTTTATAAGCAAAATTTTATACGTTGGAATATATAAAAAAAAAAAGGATGTTTCCTATCTTTCGTTGTATCTCTATGTTTTGTGTGTATGCATTTATATACATTATATGTTTGTATGTAGACATTTTCTAGTCATCGCGTGCATAGTAGCGTTGCAAAAGTAGCGCGAAAACTATCTCGCTTGAAATATCGATTCGACATACACTTTGTTCTATCGATAAGCATGCATATGATATGCAATAAAAAATATCTGTGTATGTATATATATATATATATAAGCACGTAGTTGTGTAGTTTCAAAGAAATTTTTATGTGTATTATGTGATATACATATTTTAATATTATTATCTATAATGAACATTTATTATCATTTGATTTTATTATAAATTGTTTACTACTATTGTTTTTAAACAAACTTATATATATATATTATAATATACTTATTTTAAAATATGTATATAATGAGTATCTATACGAGTATGCGTGTGTATGTGTGTGTTTGTACTAGGAAGATGAATTGTTTACTACAGCCATTTGATTTTTCTATACATAGATAGAATCGTTAATCGAATAGAGTCAATCGATTTAGTTCTTCCTCATAAGTGCATAAATACGGATCGATAGATATGCATCTTTCAAGTGACATGCTTGAACCTTGACCTATATTTTAAATTCTTCTTGATAAGTTATAACATTAAGTTTATGCGATGCATTCGACGAATACCGTGACGTTGGTCGACAAATTTGTAAAGATAACTAATCGATTATTTTTATATTGCATTCATTGTGTTATATTTGTTTTTATGCATTTTTTATTTATATATATTATATATTAAAAAAGAATATATATATATATAATTTGTGTTTGGATAATATAGAAAAGAAAAAAAAGAATATATAAAAATATATATAAAATACAGAGAAATGTTTTTGAAA